GATGGTGACGGCCAACGACGCAGGAGGACTAGGAGCCCCAAACCCAGGATCAGCACAGGGCGCCTGGATCACGGGAGTAGGAGACAGGAGAATTGCATGAGGAGAGCCAGGTTGGATTTTAATCATACCCTGGAGATCGTCTCGGCTGAAGAGGTCGGTCAACCTATCACTAGCAGCAGAGACAATGGCCCTTGCGCAATGCGTGGGAGAGTCAGAGTGGATTTCCTCCATGTTCAGAGAAACTGCTTTCGGAAGTCGTCCGGGTCTCCACAGCGGCTCTGGTGCTGGCGACTCAGTGCGCTTCCTCGAGGAGGGTTCAGAATATCGCCCTGCCAGCGAGGGCGGAGGGGGAGTCCGCATTGTCGATGCCAAATCAGCGTTCGACTCCCTAATCAAGTGCACGGCGGGTAGAAAAAAAAGATAGGCGCGCTGCAATCGACCTGGCAATCTTGAGAGATGCCATAGAGAAGTATGGGCCCGTCGTCCGATGGGTCCCCCATCCGGTCAATCCCTCGGATCCGCTGACGAAGCTCGAAGGGGAACGCAGCTCTCGCGCACCTGCCGAAGACGGAAGATTCATCTGAAGGACCCGGTCCACGAGTTTCAGGCCACATCTTCCGGGAAGTTGTCCAAGAACAGGAGCAGAGGCACCAGCAGGAGGAGGCCAGAGGAGGAGGGAGCAGTGGGCCATGGGCAGGAGTGAGTGTCGACACTTCTCTTGCACATTCTATTATTAGCTGGACAGCTCAGCGCGGGCTGCCGTGCCCCCGGCTGCCTGGCGCGAGCTATACCGTGCCCCCAGCAGCGCGGTGCAAACTATCGTGTCCAAGGCAGCCTGTTGCAAGCTAGCATCATTCAGCCCGGCGCGACACTTCGTCGCATCATGTTGATTCCGTAGTTTCTCGCGAGTAACGGCTTGAACTAAAACAACACATTAGGACTGACAGAATGTCAGGGGCATTGTTGTATCAGCATGGCGTTCGGTCCTACCGCTTGCGTGTTTATGTGTAGGGGCAAGGGATGTCTCGAGTGCTTGTTGTGCATGTCCCAAAGCCGCGTAAACTCATGAGGATTCTTCGTGCGCTCTGAGAGAGACAGGTCCGTTCTTTCTCAGACTGCGCGCAGATCTCCGCCACGGCCAACGCCTAGGGGCAGACTGCGCAGAGGGCAGCCAGCCGCCTGTTGGCGATGCGGCGGCGTTGGCCGCCCACGCGGGCGCGCGAGCACCTCCAGGCCAGCGTGGAAGGCACTGGGCTCTGGCGCTGCGCGCGGCGCGCCGATCTCGTGCAGTGCGGGCCTGAAGTCTGGAAGTGAGGGCGCACCAGGACGTGCCCGCCGCCCCCCAGACGGAGGGCGAGCGGCGGGTCGCCTTCAAGTCCTGGGTTGGCGAGGCGGCCAAGGCGGCATTCAACCTGTGACCCAGGTGGGCCCAGAACAAGGCCGCCCTGGAGGATGCCTGCGCCGAGGCGCGGCGTGGACTGTCGAACCTGGGGCGGATGCTGGAGCGCGGGCCTGCTCTCAAGGTGGAATGGGCTCACCTGCCCCGGCCCGCGCGGCCCCCGACGTGCGTGCGCCCGTTCTCTGTGCAACGCGATCTGCGCGAGGTGGCGGACGGCCGCTGGCGGTGCGTTCAGTGCTTGCACGGTTCCTTGAGCTGGAAGGTTGGGGTGGCTTCCGAGTGCGGGTGCGAGGCGCCCAAGAGTTGGGGAGCTTGCGAGAGTTCGCAGGCTCCCATGTCTTGTGGGGTGCGATGGTTGGCCCGAAGGGCTGCTCACCAGAGCAGGGTAACTTCTTGCTTCGCTGTGTGCACTGCGCGCAGTATGTATGCCCAGCTGCACCCTGTCGGCCTGGCCAAGGGCTGCCCAGCGAAGCAGCCTGGCTTTGTTTTGGACACATGGGCAAGGAGCGGCGGGGCTGCTTCGAGCGCGGCCTCCACCCCAGAACTGGGAGGAAGGAGGTCGTCCTTGAGTTCTGGGCCCTCAAGGATCTCGGATTCCTCACTCACGGGAGTGATGACAGTGCGTAGAGCAACTTTGCAGTTGGCACGCTCGGCGTCCACAGACGGGGCACAAAAACCGCGTCGCGCCACTCTGCATACCGCGGCCGCCAGATCCCGAGTATCCCCGAAAGTCCCGCCTCGCACAGCTCTGCATACCGCGGCCGTCAGATCCCCTGGCCCCCCCGAGTGTCCCCGAGAGTCCCGCTTCGCGCCACTCTGCATACCGCGGCCGCCAGATACCCTGGTCCCCCGAGCGCCTCCAAGTGTCACGCCTCGCACGGACACATCATGAAACGACACAGCAGCATTATGAAATAGCATAACCTAGTACAGCACAGTACTGTAACTTACGACCGAAACTAGCCCAACACCACACGCCTAACATAACAGACCCGATCATGACACAGCAAATCATGCCATACCATGTCGTGACATAACACACCATGGCAGAGCATCGCATAGCATTGCACATCACCACGTAACAAACCATTCTATAACATGACAATTCAATCATGACACACGAACGCATCGCATTTTTAAACCTACTACATCAGAACATGACACGGCCTCACATCACAACGCAACACAACATAACATCGCATCCAATGGCATGCCAGAGTATACCTACAAAACCGTGGAATACCATAGCAGATCATGGCATGGCACAACTGGGCACCACATACCATACCAGGCCATAACACACCACCAACAAAGCATCATCACAACAGTCATACCATACCATATGGCATTGCAGCACGTATGACACACCATAACATGGCAGGGCGCGGCATCATCTGTTACACCACATTGGAACATACCATCGCGTAACACCATACGCGGTGACAGTGGGTCATACAGAACAGAGCATACGTCATACCACGATTTGATAGAGCAGGCCAACATGACATGACATAGCATGTTCTAGCATAACATGCCGTGGCAATCCATGTAACACCGTAGCACAGCGTCATATCATATCGCATTCCATAACATGACAAGTCATACCATGGCAGAGCGCAGCATGACACATTATAGCATCGTGGACCATAGTACGTCATAACACCATAACATAACAACGCATAACGTGTCATGGCATGTCAGAACAGGACATAGAAGTCCACATTTCATGAACGCATGCAACGACTTCATGAAGCACACAGGCCATTCCATACCACCACACAGGACAACAAACAAGGATAGAGCACACGAGAACATTGCGCGTGGTAGCATAGCATCACATGTTACACATTGCCATATTCCACATATTCACCGCAGTAAATAATATCATATCACATATTCACCGCAGTTCATTACATGACAAAGCGTACCATGTTGGATCTCGTCATAACACAATCAATCATAGCAGGGCCAATTATATAATCAATTGCCATGGCCTCACACAACAGAGCATGACAGAATTCAGCATCGATCGCAACATCAAATGACAACGCTCACCATGACATGCCGGAGCATCGTGGGGTATATCTTTACAGAACACAACACAGCATAATATATCGTTTTCACGAGTGATATCACGACGGCAACTAATGTAGTCAAGCATCGTATGTTTTACGGCTACGTTCCACGGTTTTACCATATGTCAGAGGATAGCAGACCATAGCACCATTTAATGAACAGAGAACAGAGCACAACGTAACCAGCATACCATAGCATAATTCTGCCATTACTGATACTCCCACGGCAAAGAGCTTGACATAACACCAACTACTATACACTCATTGAGGACGCGTTGTACGACAGAGCAGGGCACCATATATTGAAATGAACCAGATAACGTAAACAGCATCCTGGATCAACGCATGACCTAACATAATCTGACATACCAAATCATGTTATAGCACGGTGCCGCCGAGCAGAATAGCATTCTTTAGAACAACAGAAACCACAATTGACGACGGACGTCATGACATACTACACCGTGCTGTAATATCAAACGCGACATGCGCGCCGAGGTCAGGCCAGGTACTGAATCAAACAGGCGGGGCAACGACCGATTGCAGCCTTGCTAGTACTACTACTACTACTACTACATTTATTTAGTACTACTACGACTACTACCACTACTACGACTACTACTACTACTACTACTCCTACTACTACTACTACTACTACTACTACTACTACTACTACTACTACTACTACTACTACGACTACGACTACGACTACTACTACGACTACTACTACTACTACTGCTACTACTACTACTACTACTACTAGTACTAGTAGTACTAGTAGTACTAGTAGTACTACTACTACTACTACTACTACTACTACTACTACTACTACTGCTGCTGCTACTGCTGCTGCTGCTACTACTACTACTACTGCTACTGATAATAATGACAACTACTACTCATACTACCATTATTGCTACTACTACTACTACTACTGCTACTACAACTACTGCTATCACTATTACTACTATTTATACTACGATGACTACTACTACTACTACTACTACTACTACTACTACTACTACTACTACTACTACTAGTACTAGTACTACGACTGCTACTGGTACTGTTACTGCTACTGCCCCTGTTCCTCCGACCGATTATTTGAGGACATTGTTTGGAGTCTCGCACCACGCGTTTTGGAGGTTAGCTTTCGCCCCAGGATTTGTTTCGGTTTCTTTCGTCAGAGGCTCTGGGGCCGCTTGATTTCAGGGAAACCGCAACTTGCGACCTGGTCAGACCGTCGCACTGGCCGACACCACTGGGCCACGCGCACATCGTTCCAATGGGCGCGAGCAACGTCGGAATCAAACGCCGAAGGTTTCGGTGGGGATCGCTCGAAGCAAAGTAAGTTGTTTTCCATATTGTCGTAGTTGTATTGTCCAGGCCGAATGTTTGTTTCGTTCTGGTCATGATTTCAGGCAGTTGGTTTACCGATGCGCTGAGTTTTTAGTGTTCCCATATTCTAGAACCACATTCAGGTGGATCGCACAATAAATGAACAGTCGTTTTCAGGGTCCACTCAGGTGACGGGTGTATTTTGTCAGAATGCAATTGAAGGTGCACAACAGGATTTGGACCTGACCATCGAAGCTCAGCTCAAGGAGAAGCAAGTGTACGCAGAGCGCTTGAGGATGCTATTCGATGAGATGAACGAGGATTATGATGCTGACGAGGAGCTGACAGCAGCCGTTATTCAAGAGCAGATGGCCAAGCCGAAAGTGCAGTCATGGTTCAATGCTTTAGACATCCAGTTGTCTGCGGCCAACCCTGCCGCCGGCCGTGCTAGCGCAGGAATGTGAGACACGCAGGGTGGTTACACGCTATACGAGGTTGTAGCGTGGCGCAACCATAACCTGGTATGTTTTCGTGCGTTGCGTTTTGGTGGTGTCTTGGAGGCTTCTTTGGGGGATAATGGGGGGCATCTCGGGCACCTCTTGGATGCTTCTTGGGGACGCAATTGGCTCGTTGGGGGTGTTGGTGATGTCGTAGTCGAGATGATTCTCCCGAGCTCTCCCGAAGGGGCCCAGTTAGACTATCCCCAGGGCGCTTAGGTGGGTCTTTGGGTCGTCTTAAACTTGGGCGTTCTTTGGCATCCCCGCGGCAAAGCATCCCCGCGGCAATCTTAAGCCTAAAAGCTTCGAAAGCAACACCTGATGGGTCTTGCATTTCATTTGCGTCCCAAGTTCTCGCTTGATGCCTATTTGGGCGTCTCTTGGGGGCTTCGGGGCGCCGCTTGGGGCACACGTGAGATAAGCACTTGGGCTTTCGTCGGACGGTCTTAGGTTGGTCTGGGGATATTTTGCTACCGTCTTGGGGCGATCTAGGATCGCTCTGAAGCAATGTCCTGGGAAAGTCTGCGAGCAGGGTGGAATGACGGGCCGCCCCAAAAAGCTGGTTTCTCTTAGTCCTGCTCCTGCTCCTGCTCCTGCTCCTCCTCCTCCTCCTCCTCCTCCTTATCCTCCTCGTCCTCGTCCTCGTCCTCCTCCTCTCCACCTCCTCCTCCTCATCATCATCACTTTCCTTCTCCCTCCTTCTCCTCCTCTTGCTCCTCCTGCCCCTCGGACACTCCCGAACGTGCCAAGGGCACGGTGGCGGATCGACACAAAGCAGACCTGGAAGCTCTTCAAGGCCATCGACGCGGACGGCTCGGGCCGTGTTTCCGTCCAAGAGTTCATTGAAGGGTGTCTGCAGATGAGGGGATCGGCCACACGAGTCGACGTGGAGTCGTTGAAATGGGAGATCAGATCTGCGAACAGTAACGCGCAGGACGCTGCCGAGAGAATGCTCAGGCTCCTCGGAAGCATTCAGGCTTCGGGAGCCGCACGCGGCCCGGCCCGGTAGTTTTCTAAAAAAGGTTCGAGCCGATCGTTTGGTTTCATATCTTGTCGACCGACAACGAGCGGGTTCGGTCGTCGCAGCTCTTCGCTGCCGAGATGAGGTCCCCAGTGGGCGGGGCTCGGGGATGCGACCATACAGGCCCCCCCAAGGGAAAGTCTGATTTGCCCCCCCCCAAAAAAAAGTCTCCATGGTCTTCCGGGCCGTCTCAACCACCTTTCGGAGGTCTCAATGGTCTTTTTCGGCACTTCACGCAGTGTTTACGACACGGTGGCGGATACACCATTCCAGGGTCAGGACGACCTTGGCTTTTGATTGTCGTGGTGTTGTATGCCTGTTGTTTCCGAATCTCTATCTGCCCTGCCTTGGTTCCTTGTTCGCCGGTGCACGCCACTGGTAGTCAGGCGAGCGCCACAGCGGGACCCCAGACCCCGGGCCGGCTCACTTTTCACAACTTCCCCCCTCCCCCGTATCATTTTTTGTGTCCGGATGGGGTCCCAACTCTTTTAGGGGCGCTACGGGACCGGGGCCCGCTGTTGGGGGCCGCCAAACAGGTCCCAGGCCGATCCGACAGCCGTCCCGACGGACCAAGATTGCCCCGAGTTGCCCCGAAGACAGCTTCCAGAGGTTCCAGACGGCCCAAGAAGGTTCAAACAGCACCCCGACGAGTGCTCCGAGAGGCCAAATTTACATATTTTCCTCAAGTTGTTTGACTGATTTCGGGCTTCCAACGCTCCCAGACGGGTCAAGAGGCTCCCCAGACCGCCGTCAAGGTGGCTCGAGAGGGGAGGCGTCCACGACGATCCAAGACCAATCCAAGAGGACCCGCAAGAGGGCTCCATCCCTTCAGGAAAACTTGCACTTTTTAGTATGTTCGCCTATTTGGTTTTAAAACAGTCAAAGGCAACCCCAATTGTCTCCAAAAACGCCCACAGACTGCCCATGAGGCGCCCATGACGGCCTAAGAGGGCCCCAAGATGGACCAAGAAACCCCGAAGACGGCCCAAGAGGGCCCCAGGATGGAGGGGTAATACGAGCTGCCATTTGGAACCCTCTGCCCAAAAATGACCCCCGAGGCCGCCTATAGGTGCCCAACAGGGCATGCCGGAAGAGGCCCCTGGGAGGCCCAAAAGAAAACACAAAGAGGCCCCCAAGAGACCCCGGGAGGACTCCGGGAACCCTCCAGGAGACCCCAAAGGGCCCCCCATGTGCAAATATAGTCGTCGATGCTTCCGCCAGCGTCTGCTGCTTCGATTCGCGCCCCAGATTGTGAGTGACGGGCGGCTCGCGCCGGTTCGCGCCACAGATTGTGACCCATGGTCGCGGGTGATAGAATGTTGCGTTTTTTCCCCAGGCCTTTTTTTGTGGTCTGGAAAGTGATATTTTTGGTCCCCTTGTTCTGGGCCCAAGCGCCGGGAATTCCAGGGGGGGTCCTCCGCCTCAGACACCCCGAGTGCAAAGAGGATTGGGGCGGACAAATGGTGCCCCACCTTCTGAGGCGAACGATGCAGAGTTGCACCAGACATCTTCGATAACGGGGCGGTGCGTTTCGAGGCTGCCCTGCTACGGCGTGGCGCGGCGTGTGCTGCTCATGCCGCTGGCGTGGTGCGACCTCGAACGCATCACCTCCGAGCTTGGCGCGGCGTGCGCTGCCCTTGCTCTGCCTCCGGCTGCCCGGCGGCATTTGGCTCAAGGCTCCTGCACAGGCTCGTGCCCAAAGGGGCCGAGCCGAGCCACCCTCACTAGGCGGCCGCGCTCGGATGCCCTCCAGTGCTGCTGCCGGGACTGTGAAAAAGAAGAAGCCTCGCAACCACAGGGGTACGCGGGGCAAAACCTCATCCAACAAGAGGGGCCTCAGGTACCTCTTGTGCGCCCGCCTGAAGCGGACCCTGGCGCCGCCGGAGCGCCGACGGACTCACACCGAGTCCGAGGAGGAAAGCCGTCGCGTCGAGGCTCTCTTGGACGACCTCCGGGAGCTCGCATCCCACCCGGAGTGGAGCCCTTGCTATTCTTCGACCCCAGACGGCGGGATTCCAGCTGACCCCCAGTAGTAACCCAGATCAGAACCTCAGGTTATCAGGCGAATCGTTCTGTGAGCTGGGACCATGGCGGCTGGAGATCCTAATGCTGCAGCTGTGCCTCTGGAGGACGAGCTCGGCATAATTAGTTGTGCCGAGTGCGCTCGTCGCGGCGGCGGCTGCTGGCCAGCAATCGCGACGACGTCATGCCGCTGGCCGCCCACCTCTGGCACCGCTGGTGGATCGCGATCGGTCTCGCACGCTGCTCGCCGCATCTGGCGCGGATGAGTCGAGCGAGATGTTGGACGATTTGTTGTCGCGGGACCTGAGCCGCATCGTGGACCTCGACGAGGCCAACGGCGAGTTGCGGGTGCAGCGGGCCGAGCTCACCGCTGAGTTCCAGGCCCGCGAGCGAGCATTGGAGCACCGCCTGGAGGTGGCCATGCTCGAGCGCACCAGTGCGCTCGGCGCCGAGGCTGAGGAGGCGTTCCAGAACGCGCGCGCTGGGATGCGCCGCGAGCTGGCGGACGCCACCCGCGCGGCCCAGGAGGGGAGCATGATGCAGCTGGCCGAATCAGCTCGCGAGATGCAGCTCGCTGAGATGAAACTTGCAGGGGAGGATCGCCGCCAGTTGGCCGACGCTCTCCGGACAGAGGCCGAGGCCTACGCAGTGGCGGACCGCCAGCGGCGCGAGGAGTATGATGCCATGCGTGGCCGCGAGTGGCAGAACTTTGAGGCCAAAAAGGCGGAGCTCGGTGGCATCGTCCATGAGGCGGCGGAGCGGGCTGCCGCCGCGACCGTTGCAGAGGCTGCTGCCAGTGCCGCCGCCCACCACCGCGAGGTTCAGGCAGCGGCCGCAGTACGTGCGGCCGAGACTGACAGGATCGCCGCAGGCCATGCGGAGGCGCGCATCCGGCTGCAACTGCGCACTGCTGAACAGCGCAGCGCAGGGCTGGAGGCGGAAAATGGTGAACTGAAGGTCCAGGCCGCCCGTGCGGCAGGCTTGGAGGCGCAGGTGACGGTGCTGCAGTCCCGCCTCAACGAGGCCGAAGAGCGCTCTGCGGCGCTCCTGGACCGCACTCAGGCGTGGTGCAATGAGCTCGCCGACGGGCTGTCGGCGCAGGCGGACGAGCATGCAGCGACGGTGCACGCGCTGCAGGCCCGTTTGGACATGCTGGAGCAGGAGTGCGAGAACTGGCGCGAGATCGCCAGCAAGCCCCCTGGGCGCATGGAGCCCACGAGGCCTGCTACCCCTCTGGGCGCCGCCTCTGCCGCCGCTGCTGCCGCGCGTCCGCAGCAGTACGAGCTCGCCACCCCGACGCCGCCGCCAGCTGCCCATCCCATGCCGCGGCCATCAGCCGGCATGCTCCCTGGGAGGGGCACGGGTTTGACCATGAAGGCGCATATTGCCGCCTCGGCTTCGGGTGCCCACAGTGACCGGGGCGGTAACGTCAGATCGGCCCCACCGATGCTGCTGCCGACGACGCTGCACCAGAGGCCCTCCCGCATTTAGCAGCCCCCAGGGCTGGCTCGGACTGCTGATGGTCGCACCCAGCGTCGAGCTAATCGTGGCGAGCGAGATGATGCTGGAAGCGTGGTTGACGAAGGCTCGCAACCTGGCTCCGCTCGCGCGTGGCCTGCGTGCGAACCTTGCAGGAGCAGGAAGGCTCGCAGCGCGTCGTCCTCCAGCATCTCGTCCGAAGACGAGCTGAGGCGACGCAAGTGCACGGTCAAGCAGGTCGTCCTGGACCCCGTGCCGGCCGCTGCAGGATTCCGGCAGTGGATCCAATCCATGTACGTGAAGGTCTGGGCGGCGAGCAAGCGCAGCAAACGCAGGACGCTGGCTTGGTTGCAAGTCGCCGAAAGCGCCAGCGCCATTCAAGAGCTGGAGCGCTTGGCCCGCAAGCAGCGCCGGTGGGGCGACCTGGACACCGCGTTGGCGGAGGGCGTTCTCGAGGTGGCTTCTGGACCGCTGAAGCGAGAGCTTCTCATCTACCAGGAGGAGCAGACGAGGCAGGGCTGCCCGCTGAGCGGCCGGTGCGCGCTCTTAATGGTGTACTCCAGGTTCACGCTGGAGCGTGGCCAGGTGATGAGCGTCGACCTCACCACGTTGACCCAGCTCGAATTCAAGGGCGACCTGGAGGGTTTTTTGGCGGCCTGGTATTACACTCTCATGGCTCTCGCCAAGATGCCAAATGAGGACTTGATGTTGGCGATGCTCGAGGCGCATCTCCGTGAGTCCAAGGCTCTGGCGCCAGCTTTCGTGCAGTACGACGCGGCGGAGGAAGGGCCCAGCGTGAGGACGAGCACATACTTGTACAATGCCGCGCAGAAGGAGGTGGTGAGGAAGCAGCGCGTGGAGACCCAGCAGGGCTTGATGAAGATGACCGTGATGAAGGCGGCCCCATCTCGACCAGCTGGTCTTCCCTCCCCGGAGGCCCCGGGCGACTCGGCCAAGACGGCCGACGGGAAGGCGATCTGCCAGCTGTTCGCTGCCCGCGGCACTTGTCGCTTTGGGGATCGCTGCAAGTTCGCCCACGTGCAGGACGGCGCAACGAAGCCGGGCCCGGAAGCCAAGGTGAAGGCGGCAGCGAAGCCTAAGACGAAGGCGAAGGCTGAGCCTAAGTCCAAGGCTGCCCCAGTCAAGCCGCCCGACGCGCAGTCGGAGGCCCCCCAGTGCAAGTTTTGGCCGCTTGGCAAATGCACCAGGGGGGACAAGTGCGAGCACAAGCACGTTGGCCCAGGTAAGCCTACGACGCCCGCGGCACCAGCGGCAGCTCTGCCTGCGAACGGCGCCGCTCGCGCCGTGGAGGGGGGTTTCGTCGTGGACGCCGGCGCGGGTAATGACTTGTTGCCGACGGGGGCCCCTGGACGACGACAGCGACGTGGAGACCTCTGCGCGATTGACACGGCGAACGGCGCCCTCGTGCCAGACACGTCTATCACCGTTGGTTTTGACGCCTTGGGCGAGGGTGCCAGATACGGTGCCAGCACTGTCCTTGGGCGCCGCTGCTCCCAGCACGGCTACCGATTCGTGTGGGAGCTTTTCGCGGACAAGCCCGAGTTCTTCGGCCCGGAGGGCTCGCTGATCGATCTGCGGGTGGAGAATTTCGTGCCAATGGTGCTTCCTGGGCTCGCCTCCCCATCTGGCGACGGTGATCGCCGGCGAGTTCGCTGCATGCCGGCTGCTGCTCCGTCCAGGGAGGAAGCTTTTGATGATGTCGCGGCTGCGCCTGTCGGAGACCACGCGGATGCGACCCCGCCGACGCTGCTGGCGACGACGCCTGGAACGAGCGAGGCGGACGTGACCCCGCCGACGCTGCTGGCCACGCCAGAGAAGGAGGCTCCCGCGGAGCCCCCCTCTGCAATCGTGCCCGTCGCGAGCGATGCGACCAGCGCCAGGCTTGACAAGAAGGAGCTGCAGGACTTCGAGCGCATCCTCGCGGACGGCCTGACCAAGTACGACAGGGACATCGACCTGGTCGACGTGCCCTTGAAGCGCGTGGTTCACGACGCCGACGAGCCGGTCAATGCCACGATGGATAACGACCCGTGCTCCGCTCTCCACTTATCCACCCACCTTCCGAAGTGCCCGCCAGGCATGTGCGCAGGGTGCGACTACGGCAAGACCACGAAAAGCCGACGCTCGAGAAGGCCAGCTGCCGCGGTTGAGCTTCACGTGCCAGAGGGCCAGAAGGGCTTCGGCGCGCTCGTGCACATGGACCACCTGGACATGGGGCACGGGTCCGAGGCCAGGAAGGCTGCCGCCTACGCGCTCAACATCACGGATGAGAGCACAGAGTTCTTCGCGTCGTACCCCTCCGGGAAGAGGAATGCGGCGAGCGTGATTGGACGCGATCGCCAGTTTCGACGACGTGCCCTGGAAGGCACGCCGCTGGTGGTCGGACAGCACGCCTGAATTCAAGGCGGCCGCCCGTCAGGCGCGGGAGCAGCGCCCGCTGGCGCATTGCCGATCCACCCCATATCGCCCGCAGGCGAACGGGAAGGCGGAGAGGATGAATCGCCTGGCTGTGGAGGGAACTTGCTGCCTGCTGCAGCAAAGCGGCCTCGGCGAGAGGTGGTAGCCACTCGCTATTCGATCTTGGGCGTCAGCGTACAACGCGACTTACGTCGGCAAGGACGGGTTCACCCTTTGGCAGCGACGCATCCAGGAGAAGGCGCCGCGCGTTGTGTACCCTTTCGGCGCCCTCGTGCTGCGCCGGCCGCCTGCCGGCCCCAAGACCACCAGGGTGGAGGAGAAGCACTTGGGAGCGGTGAAGTGGAGGAACCGCATCGCGCCGGCCCTGCTGGTCGGCGTGGCCTTTGGCCCCGGCGAAAAGTGGGCGAAGTCCTACCTCGTCGCGCCGCTGGCTGCTGTCATGGGCGACGGGCGCGCCTCCCGAGTCAGCGTTCGCGCTGTCGTTGATGTCACCTTTCACGACAAGGCGTCCCGCCCGTTGCAGCAGCGCTTGATGTTGCACGGCGCCTTCGAGGACCTAGCGCTGCCCGCGCCGAGCGTCGCGGACAGCAGCGATGGGGATAGGTTGGGAGCTCATGGCCGAGGACGCTGACGAGACGGACATCGCACAGTTCGGCCTCCAGTTCGACGGCGAGCTGAAGGAGAGCGCGCCGGTTTTCCGCAAGAAGGCCAAGGTGACGGACATCATGGCCGCGCTTGACCCCCAACCCCAGCGTGACCCCGAAGTCTGGAGGGGGCAGGGGCTGATCAAGCTGAAGGTGTCCTACATCCTCGCTGCTCCCTCGACCTTCCTCCTGCCGTCGCTGCAGACGCTCGTCGTGGACGCGCCTCGGTGGAGCCCGACGCGGAGGAGGCTTCCCGATTGGGTCTCGACCCCGGCCCCGTCGCGCAGCTGGAGGTTACGCCAGGGCCTGGGCGCGCGCCTCCAGCAGGCTGGAATCGCGACGACTTCGGCGAGGACGGCGTGATCCGCAGGAGCGTCTGCACCCCACCACGGTCCACGCGCCCGCCCTCGGTGGAGCCAGAGCCGCGGCTGATGCTGACCCTGGCCAAGAGGAAGATCGAGCGGAACAAATGACGCGCTGCGGACCCTGCTGGGTTCGCGGCCCAGGAGCTCCGCCGCAAGAACCGCGGCGAGCTCAAGCTGCAGGGCAAGGTTGCCAAGGCCGCTCCAGCTGGGTCTCGTCTCGCGTGCTTGAGTTCCGCAGGCATGGGGAACGAGGTGCACTACGCCCCTGCGCCAGCCGCCGCCGCCGCCGCCGCCGGGGGCGCGCGCCAAGCGCGCCGGGGCGCTCTGCGCGACGGCGCCGCCGCTGCCGCGCCGCCCGCGGGCGCGATCATCGACGACGGCACGCGCGTGAACATCAGGAGCGCGGCGAATGGCCTCATCCAGAGCGGTGGCATCGACCACCTCCTGATCTAGCCCTGCTGTGGCGAGGCGTCGCGGCTGGCTCATCGCGCGCCTGCCCTGCGCGCTGCTCTGAGAATCGGCGAGCGGACTGACGTCGTGCCCACGAAGACGGTAAAGCTCCTGAAGGACATCATCAAGCACGCGGTTCGTGAGAAGGTCAAGGTATCGGTTCGGGGCGCCTTGCCGCGCGGCGGTCAGGGGGCGCACGGGGCTGGCGATCCTGAGCTTGCCAGGGTCCTCATCCAGAATGCCGCCAGGGCCTGCGACTACGCCAAGGGCAAAGGCGCGGACCTGACTTGGGAATGTCCTTCGACGTCTGATTTGTGGGGCGGGGAGAAGGTATGCAGCATGGTCAACTCTGCAGGGGGGAAGTTCGTCAACGTCGCCAGCAGCGTGGCCGGCCTCAAACACGGATGGCGCGGAGGTCAGCGAGTGGTGCCTGTACACCGCTTACCCCAAGGTCCACCTGGCCTTCAGCATGGCCTCCATGGGCCCAGAGGCGGACGCGAACGCGTTCGTCGAGTGCCGCGGCCGCATCGCGGAGGAGAGCGCGCACTACCCAGAAGGGCCCGCCAGGCTCTATTGGAGGGGGCGCAGGGCTGGCACTCGACCTGCAGCACCTGGCATCCCCCAGTTCCTCGCCGACTTTATGTCAGGAGCTGGTGCAGACGACGTGGATCGTGATGGACATCGCGAGCACGATTCGCGACCATGTCGGCCACTGTGGGCTGCTCTGGCGAAGAGGGTGGCGAAGCCCAACTCGCCCGAGGCAGATTGCGACGGCGCGCGCAAAGCGCTGGAGAAGGAGCTGAGCGGGATGCGCTCCAAGGAGGTTCGGGGCACCACCGACGCCCGCAGCTTGCGTGACCTTCTGCTTGACCGATCCCTCTCTGAGGCCATGCTTGGCCGCGTGCTTGCCATACTGGGGATCAAGGGCGGGGAACTTGGAGGAGACGCTCAACAATGGCGGGCGCGAGTGGTACTTCAGGGCTCCAACATCCGCGCGAAGACCGGCGTGTCGGCCGTGGACTTGTTCGAAGAGGTCGCTAACGCGCCGGCATCGTTTGCCGCGGCGCGCGCCGCCCTCGCGGTGGCGGCGCTGACCGGGCGGGCCGTCAGCCTGGGGGGCGCGGAGGCGGCGTGCCTCCGGGCTCTCATCGACGCCCCGCCCCGCATCCCCTTTTACAATGAGCTTCCGCAGGGGTGGTGGCCAGACGATTGGTTCGTGGACGGCGCGGCGCGCCGGAACCCCAAGTACGTCCGGCCGCACTGCCGTCTCAAGAAGGCGTTGCACGGCCACCCGGAGGCCGGGGCGCTCTGGGAGTCCAAGCTGAACGCCATCCTCGAAGAGCACGGGTGGGAGCCGGCTGGGCTGGACCACCCCGGTGTTCACGTGCACCCCGACGGCGGCATATTCGTCGTGTACGTGGGCGACATGCTGATGGTTGCCCCCCCGAGTATGTCGGGGCCCCTGTAGAGGGCACTTGATGCGGCGATCGTATTCAAGGAGCTCGAGCAGGATATCGCCAGGTACTTGGGGGCACGCTACACCATGGACCCCGTCAACCCTGTCTGCCCGTCGGCCGCTCGCCGGCTCCACGCCGACGTGGACGACTACGTGGTCAACGCCGTCGCGAAGTTCCAGTCCGAGTACGGCGCCCGTCTTGGCCAGGTGACTTCGCCGTTCCTGAGCCCGGAGGAGTGGGCGGAAGAGGGGGAGAAGCCTGGCGCCTTCGCTGGAAGTTGCGCTTCTCACGTGGCGCCGCTGCTGTTTCTCAGCCGAGTGGCGCGTTCAGACAGCGCTGTCGCGGTGCAGCGGCTCTGCTCCGTCGTCACTCGTTGGACGACCACCCACGACGCCGCGCTGGTGAGGCTCATGGCGTACATGGCTGCTGGGCCTATGTCTCTCCGCGCGGAGTTGGCCCCTGCCAGCGTCTTCGACTTGGTTATGCTCATGTGGTCGGACGCCGACTGGGCTGGCGACCCAGAACACACGAAATCCATCGGCGGTGTCTTGGTAGAGCTTCATAGCCCGACCTCTGGTCGAAGGTGGCTTCTTTCGTGGGCTATTCGCGAGCAGACGTCCACGGCCGGCTCGACGGCTGAAGGTTGCGCTCAGCCACAACACCAAGCATGGGGGCATCCCCGTGCAGACGTTTCTCGAGAAGATGCTTGGTCTGGAGGTTCCGCTGGTGGCGCTCGTGGACGACGCGCAGGCCATTGCAGCGGTCACCAAGGGCTACAGCAAGAAGCTCAAGTTCTTGGAAAGGACCCACGGAGTGTCCATTGGGTTCCTTCACGAGCTGGCGGTGGAGCGCGAGGCCATGACCCTCGAGCGCGCTCCCACCGCGTCGCACAGGGGCGACGGCCTCACGAAGGCTATGACCCCGGCGAGGTTCTTCGTGGCTCGCGACCTCATGGGCATGGTTCCTGGCCAGGCGTGAACGCTGCTTCGCCTCAGCCACAGACTCGGCGAGGGGCGTGTGCAAATATAGTCGTCGATGCTTCCGCCAGCGTCTGCTGCTTCGACTCGCGCCCCAGATTGTGAGTGACGGGCGGCTCGCGCCGGTTCGCGCCACAGATTGTGACCCATGGTCGCGGGTGATAGAATGTTGCGTTTTTTCCCTAGGTTTTTTGTGGTCTGGAAAGTGATATGTTTGGTCCCCTTGTTCCGGGCCCAAGCGCCGGGAATTCCAGGGGGTCCTCCGCCTCAGACACCACGAGTGCAAAGAGGATTGGTGCGAACAAATGGTGCCCCCCCTTTCTGAGGCGAACGATGCACAGTTGCACCAGACATCTTCGATAACGGGGCGGTGCGATTCGAGGCTGCCCTGCTACTGCGCGGCGCGGCGTGTGCTGCTCATGCCGCTGGCGTGGTGCGACCTCGAACGCATCACCTCCGAGCTTGGCGCGGCGTGCGCTGCCCTTGCTCTGCCTCCGGCTGTCCGGCGGCATTTGGCTCAAGGCTCCTGCGCAGGCTCGTGCCCAAAGGGGCCGAGCCGAGCCACCCTCACTAGGCAGCCGCGCTCGGATGCCCTCCAGTGCTGCTGCCGGGACTGAAAAAGAAGAAGCCTCGCAACCACAGGGGTACGCGGGGCAAAACCTCGTCCAACAAGAGGGGCCTCAGGTACCTGTTGTGCGCCCGCCTGAAGCGGGCCCTGGCGCCGCCGGAGCGCCGACGGACTCACGCCGAGTCCAAGGAGGAAAGCCGTCGCGTCGAGGCTCTCTTGGACGACCTCCGGGAGCTCGCATCCCACCCGGAGTGGGGCCGTTGCTCGCCCTCGACCCCAGACCGCAGAACCTCACCCCCAACCAGGCTCCGAGAGACTTCGAACGAGACCCAGGCCCCAAGATGCCCCAACATGGTTGGTATGCTATCGCAGCGTCAGGAGACGACACAAAAACGGTCTGGGCACGTCCCAGCAGGACCCGAGACGGCTCAAGAGATGTCCTGTTTCTTCCATCTGTCTTTCTGCCTCCTGTTTCTGTCCTTCCTCGTCCCTCCTGCACGTGCTCCGCCAGCCGGCGTGACAGTGCGCGCATGCCGTTTCAAGGCGGCTTTCTCTCCGTGCTCCGTTACCGCTCATTCGTCCTGCACGTGCTCCGCCAGCTGGCGTTCTCCTTCCGTCCGTCTTTCTTCGATCTTCCTGCAAGTGCTCCGCATTATGCTTTAAGGCAGTTCGCTCTCCGTCCTCTGGCATTCCTCGTTTCTTCTGAACATGCTTCGCCAGCTGGCGTGGCAGCGTGTGCATTCTATTTCAGGGCAGTTTTCGTCCCGTCCTCCGTCATTATTCGTCCCTCCCGCACATGTTCGGCAAGATAAGCCAAGAACATGTGACGACATCCAAAGATCAGCAAACTACGGCCTCGACATTCCACCATAAAGCCAGTCAATGCCCCGAGCCTGTAAAGCGATCTCCCCGACGAACCCGCAAGCCAAGACCTGCGCGTCGTGACAACGAAGAGGCAACCCAGGACGGCGCCATCGGAGACACCTGCCCCCCCCACACGAGCGCCTGAAATGCCCCAAAGCCAGTCCAAGGGAGCCCTGCGACATCCCATAACCAGCCCAAGACGGACACAGCTCTTCTCCGACTGCGAGTCGCCCGGAAACCCCGACCTCCGTTCCATCACAGCGCCATAGGCTGGGCTAGAACCTAAGCGCGCGCGAAGCGCGCGTGGTTCTAGTAATACATATGTATATGTATATATATATATATATATATACATATGTGTATATATATATATATGAGTAGGCCAGGGGGGGCCAGGCCAGTGCCGTACTCCCCCATGGGGGGATTGCTGGGGTCCCAGGGCTCCTGGGATTGCCCGGGCCCGCTCCCAAACACGCCACGACACGCCAAGAGGGCCCTAAAGATTGCCAAGACAGCCCCCAGAGGCCCCGGACACGCCGAAGATGGTCTCAGCACGGCCGACGACGCCGCCAAAACGCGCCAAGAGCGCCTCCAGAGGCCCTCCAAAAGGCCTCAGAAACCGAAAATCATAAATTGTTCGATGGTTTTTGGAACATTTTTGCGCTCTCCCATGTTCGCCTCCCCACGGTCCCGGGCGGCGTCAGAGGCCCTTCAGATCGCTCCAAGACGGCCGAAGAGGCCCCCAAGAAAGCCCAGAGACGGCCCAGGAGGCTCCCCAGATCATTCAAGAGGGCCTCGAGAGCGCCCCAAGAGAGCCCCAAGAGAGCCCCAAGAGCGACCCAAGAGGGCCCGAAGAGCGCGACATTTCAAGGTCTCCTGCATGAGAGGCTCCTAGCCCCCGGAGGCCATCAAGAGGCTCCCAAGAAGCCCCGTGAGGCCCCCAAGAGGCCCCCCGGAAACCCCAGTAGGTCCCCAAGGGGCCCCCAGGGAAGCCCCCTGCGGGCTCCCAAGACACCTCGGTAAATCGTTTTTCCCAGACAGTTTTTCAGGAACATGATTCCTTGGGCTTCCGCCCACCGCCCCAACCATGTTTCCAGCAAGGCCAAAAGGGCTCCCCCCTCGGTAAGCCCCCAGAGGTCCCCTCTTAAGGGAGCCGAACAAATCATGCTCCCGGAAAGCTTCCCGGGAACACGATTCTCGGGCTGCCGCCCTCTGCCCAAACCATGTCCCCTAAACGCCTGCCAGGACAAGGAAGACGACAGCCCCAAGCAGCGCTACCTGCCGCCACGTGCGAAAACGCGTCAGGCCCCGAAGCCTCCGGAGGCGCCCAACGACACCCCAACAAATCATGTTCCCAGGAAGCCTTCCAGGAACATGCTTCCTCAGGCTTCCGCCCCCGGCCCCAACCATGCGTCCCAAAATGCTTGCCGGGCAGCCCCCAAATGGGCCCTCATACACGTCATCATGTTACCAGAAAGCTCTCTCCGATAACATGATTCCTCAGGCTTCCGCTCCCCGCACGCAACATCTGTCCCAAAGCGCCTGTCAAGCAGGACTCGAATGGGCCCTCAAGTACTTTCCTAGAAGCCCCACAAGATGCTGATGATGACGATGATGGTGACGAAGATGACACTGATGATGATGCTGATAATGATGATGATGATGATGATGATGATGATGATGATGATGATGATGATGATGATGATGATGATGATGATGGTGATGGTGATGGTGATGGTAATGATGCTGATGATGATGATGATGATGATGATGATGATGATGATGATGATGGTAGTGATGACTGTGATGATGCTGACGACGATATCCACGACTACGCTGATGATGATGAGGATGAGGATGACGATGCGGAGGATACTGATGGTGTAGATGTTGATGCTCATGATGATGATGATGATGATGATGATGATGATGATGATGATGATGATGATAGTGATGATGATGATGATGATGATGATGATGATGATGATGATGATGATGATGATGACGATGGTGCTGCTGCCGATGATGGTGCTGATGCTGGTGTGTAAATGTATAGTCGTATGTTTGTGTACGTGTATAGACCTGTATAGATTGACGTGTAGGTGTATTCGTATGCCTGTGAACATGTATATGCATTTGTGCATGCGTACGCATATTAATTCGTATATGTGCACATAGATACACATATGTATGTGTACACTTTTATGAGATGCATCTGTTAATGTGTGTACAGTGTATGTGTACGGTTCCGGGCGCGAACTTATGGGGTGGGGGGTCCCATGGATACAGTTCCGAGGAGTCCGAAAACGCCATCCCCAGACGTCTGTGCTGGGTGAAGGGTCGGGCTCTGTGGAGACCTGGGGAGGGGTTGAGGTCAAGATTGAGGTGGAGAGCGTGGTCAAGCAATGCAAAATGACACAGCGTAGGGTCGTGCAGCGTGGAAACCTCGGGGTGGGGGTCGAGGTGTGGAAGGAGGAGGAGGAGGACGTGTTAGAGCAATGCAAGGTGACACAGTGTCGGGCCAGGAGGGATGTCGCACACGCCGTTTGGTGTCGGCGGATTCAAATGTTGTTTCCACAGATAGGGGCCGATCGGGGGTCCAGCGTCGATCTATCGGCGATGAATCGCCGATTCCGGGTCGATGTTGTCCCCACTCAACTATGCCAGTCCCCCCTTCTCGTTGCCTTTCAGGGCTCGTGGTCTTCGAGCATGGGCGAGGGATCATCGTCTCGCCCAGCTGGACTTCCTGGCAAGCGCTGGCCGGAGGGTTGCTGACCAGAGCCGCGAGCCACATGGCTCGGGCACGAAAGGGTGTCAGCCCTAACGGGTGTCAGCCAGTCCCTGCCAGTTGGCCAGGGTTGGGGAGCCATGTGGGGCCGACCCCCTTTCCAACCCCCCCTGACCAGGGGACCTTTAGAGGCCTCCAGAGAGCAGGGAGGAGAGAAGGTGTCCGCGGTTCGGTCGGTTCGGCTGCGTCGCCGTCGGTTGCGTTCGGTCGGTTTCGGCTTCGCTGTTGCGTCCAGTCGGCTGCCTCGCAGTCGGTTGTGCCGTTGTTGCGTCGCTGCGCCCTTATGACGCTGCTTGGCGGCCTGTAGGTGTCGGTCGGTTTTTGTCTCACTGTCGGTGCGGTCGGCTTTCGTTTGTTTTGTGGCCGCGGACGGCTCGGTGGGCGCACGGTAAAAATGTGCTCGTGCAGAGCATGTTGTGCTTTGCAGAGGAGGGGTTCCCGGAGGACGGGGTGGTTCGGCTTTTGGCACCTAGGCCGTCGTGGGGGCCCAGCCGCATGCCCTTGGGCAGTAAGGGGTCTGCGCTCCCAGAGCCAAAGAACCGAAGAGCGGCACGTAGTACGCTCTCGGAGGGGTGTTCGGAGTTCTGTGGTCTGCGCCTGACGCCCTCCCTGGGCGCGCAGAGCGTGCCGGGGAAGTCGCCCAGGGCGCCACCAGGGGGGGTCTGGTGTCGCCGACAAGAACTCCGCGAGGGCCTTCGAATACGCGTGCATATCAGATTGTGGTAGCGGCTTCCGAGTGCGCAGAGCAGTTGCGTAGTTCGAGATTCAAATGCCGTATGAAGGTCAACTTGAGGTCCACGCGGATCCATTGGGTCAGCATTGGAACCGCCCCCACGGCCCCTTCCCCGTCGCCAGGGGTGGCGGGTGGGGGGTGCCCAGCGCCGACCCAACAAATCCGAGCAGAGCACGGAGATTACAAGTGGCACGTGCGTGCCCAGGTTCGTTCAAGAAGAATTGCAGCACGCAAGCATCGCAGAACATTGGCAAGAAAAGGAAAATGAAGTCGGATCCAAGGACGATGAGATGGAAGGGGATGGAGAAACAATTGAAAGCGGAGAAGGTGTATAAGAAGGATCACCAGGAGGTTGTTGGGAAGGAGGTTCAACAGAAGGATCGCAGTCGAACGCAGGTGGGGTTGCCGCACCCTGCGATGTGTGTGTGTGTGTGGTCTCGGGCGAGCTTGGACGCGCGCGCGGTTGCTGCTGTTCAACCTTCTACGCCCTGTTCTTGCGCGCAGGGCCGCGACGCCAAAACATGTGTGTATGTGTGTGCAAGTAAGTAAGTAATTCTTTACGCTTCGCGTATCCCCACCAGCCCATCTCACAGCAGCAACTCTCGCGAAGCATGCCGACAGTCGTGTTTTTCAGGCGTGTGTCCGCTTGGCCCCGCACATCTCCCCTGTTCCTCCTTCCTCCCGCCTCCTTGTACATCCTCCTTGTGAGGGGAGCGGGAGAAGGACGAGGCGGAGGAGGAGGGAGAGAGAGCGCTCCTTGTGATTTGAGTAGTTTGGGGTTTCTCGTCCTGGTGTGAGTCGTTCGGGCCCTTCTTCCTGGTGTGAGTCGTTCGGGCTCTTCGTGGTGTGAGTCGTTCGGGCTCTTCGTCCTGGTGTGAGTCGTTCGGGCTTCTCGTGGTGTGAGTTGTTCGGGCCCCTCATCCTGGTGTGAGTCGTTCGGGCCCCTCCTCCTGGTGTGACTCGTTCGGGCTCCTCGTGGTGTGAGTCGTTCGGGGCCCGCGTCGTGGTGTGAGTCGTTCGGGCTCCTCGTGGTGTGAGTCGTTCGGGCGCCTCGTCCTGGTGTGAGTCGTTCGGGCCCCTCCTTGTGGTGTGAGTCGTTCGGGCTCTTCGTGGTGTGAGTCGTTCGGGCCCCTCGTCCTGATGTGAGTCGTTCGGGCTCCTCGTAGGGCCTCTTGGGGGCCTCTTGGAGCCTCGTGGGGCTCTTGGGGCCTCGTGGGGCGTCTTGGGGGCCTCTTGGGGGCCTCTTGGGGGTCTCTTGGGGCCTCGTGGAGCCTCTTTGGGGCCTCTTGGGGGCCTCTTGGGGGCCTCTTGGGGCCGCTTGGGGGCCTCTGGGGGGCCTCTTGGAGGCCTCTTGGGAGCCTCCTGGGGGCCTCTTGGGGCCATCTTGGGGCCTCTTGCGACCTCCGCAGAAGCGCAAATAAGCGCTGACCCCTGAGAAGGACAAAATGAGCCCAAAACCTTCGTAAAGTCAATGATTTTGCTAAGAAGGAAGAGGAACGCGGCCCCCTCAGACGGCCAACATGGAGCCACAACCTTAGTAAAATCAATGTTTTTTGCTTCAACGACGAGCTGAGGCGCCAAACTGCCCCCCCCCCTCGGGGCCAGAATCCTCGTGAGGGTCGTCGTCGGTTGGCCTCCCAGGCGTCGAAAAAGACTCCCCTGACGACGCTCGGGACTCCCTCTCCAGGTCCAGGGGGAGGGGGTAGGGGGAGGGGTAAACCCCTCCCCGAAGGGGAAGAAGTGGGGTTGAGGACAGAGCGGGCTCTCTAAACCACTCACGCCCAAAGGGCTGGTGGGATTAAGTAAGTAAGTATGTTTGCGTGTGTGGCGCAGGAGGTTGTTCCACATCTTGCGATTGCAATTGAAAAAAGGTCCGAAGCCAATACTTGGAGGAGATCTTGCCTGCAGCTAATGTTTTGGAGAATATGAAAACAACTTTGAGTACGTCGGGTTTCAACTATGGGTGGATGTCTCCTGCGGAACAGAGCGAAGCCCAAAGTCGCTGAAACCGATTGTACGTTGACGGTTTTCTGGTAACATGTTGGGAATCCAGTTTGTGTGTTTGGGTTGTAACGCCGCGTTCTGCGTGAGGGGTGCGTCTGAGTTTTCGGATCATGTGGATGTCCTGAGCGAAACGGCCAGACTAAGAGAGAACGACTTCAAATGAATCGCCTCTGAGGTCTACTCCTTCGGAGAGGTGCGTATCATAATCTACTTTTGGCAGTTCTCTTTCGCCATGCAGTTCCTTTCATCCATGCGCACATCTTCCAGCACCTGTTCACTTCGTCCGTCTCATCCTCCCTGTTGCCGTTACCCACAGTGCTGCTGGCACCGCTTGAAGGAGTGGACCCTCTTCGCAAGGGTGACCCTAGCAGGTTCAGCTAGTGAACACCCAGGGCGTCGTAGGTCTTCAACTATGCTGTAGAGCAGCACGTGTTTTTTGTTTATTAGTGTTGCCGCTGCGGTCTCGGGAGGTTCATTGGGCGTGGCTTGCCCCCTCCTGGTTTTCCATACCCCGTAGGTATCTGTGCAATGGCGCCCCAGCTGCGGAAGCTGTTTATCAATTTGTGCGTGCGGAAGCTGTTTATCAATTTGTGCGTGATCCCCAGACCCCCCAGCGTCCAGTTTCGTTCCACACGTGGACCTTGAAGGTCTGCAGCGGGGAGTCGCACCGAGTGGGCTTCGCACGCAGAGTTTTTTTGCACGATTCATTCGAAGGATGATGCCCGCGATGCTTTGATGGCGTCCTGCCCCCTTGCGGGGCCTCGTCAGAGCAAGGATTGGCAGTCTTCGCTTCACCGAGCAGCGGCGATTCTAACCTGGGCAAGGGCGCCGTAAGTGCGCGGCCCACAGCCCCGATCTGACGGCCAGCTGCGGACGCGACAGACACTGGGGCCCAGCTTCCCGGAGGCCCTGCCCTTGCCACTCGCGGGCAGGAGTCCGCATTTCGACCCTCAGAAGTGGCCCCACTCAGCAGAAATGGAGCCACACAAATGACGAACAACTGACCTTAGGTAAGTGGTCGACATTGAAAAAGATAAGACGTCAGATGTCTGGGGAGAGAATGTGGTCCGGGGCTCCTGGGCTCTCCTTGGATTGCGCCACTCATGGGCTTAGATGGGTGGAGCGATGGGTTACCCCATGGACTTTGCCAGTTGATCCACTGTGGGCTGCGCGATAGAAGGGTTGCTTCATGGGTTGCGCCATCCATGCTTCGCCCTATGGGTTGCGCCGTAGGTTGTGCCACGGGCTGTGCCATTGGTTGCGCAAGATGTTGCGCACGCGGCGGCCGAAACTGAAGATGCCTGCTCTGGATTACGCCATAGGTAGTGCTCTCGGCTGCTGGAAATCCTGTCACTGTTTGCGCAAATGGTTGTGCATTTGGCGGCTGACATCTGTGTACTATTGTTTGCACCATCGGTTGTGCACTCAACGGCCCGAGATGAACCCGCTTGCCATTGATGTTGTCAAAGGTCGGTTGGGCTGTCGACGGTCGAACATAATATTGCCAGCTCGTGGCTTTGCTGTTTGCATGCGCTCGGAGGCTGGATATGACCTGCTTGCTATTGGTTGCGCCAAGAGTTGCGCATGTGGCGGCCAGCGATAAAACTGTTTGCTAACATGCGCCGCGAGCAATCAGGCGATCAGTCAGCCAGTCAGCGGTCACTTGCATTCGCGGAACAGAACGGCTTCTGGCTCTACCTGGAAAACAATTTAGGATCAGAACTGGCCCAGAGGGAAGCCCCGCGGGCCCAAACCCATTTTCACCAGGACCCCCTGTACTCACGCGAAAGACAGGTGAGCCTTCGCCGCCATGGCACTCCCGCATCTCGCGCTCTTCCATGTGCAATGGCTGTCGCACGTCGAACCCAGGAGACATGGCATCCTCCGTCCTCATCGTCTCAAAGGTACTGTCGTTGGGAGCATCGGCCTCCACGTCGACATTCATGTCCTCATCTGGGCGACTGGAAACTTTTATAAGTTGTCAACGGCAATGTCGATTTCGAGACATTTGAATGGAATCTAACAGGAACATGTTTTTCTCTGACGCGGTGCGCGTTTGCTGGTGCTTCACCGAAGCAGATCTCAAGCAGGCAGAGAAATCTGCATGCGCATCACCGTTTTTGTTCTCACAGTGGTGCCCAACTTTCGAAACCGTTGACGCGACCACATTTGAGGAATTTCGCTACCGTCATAAGGTGACGTGTAGTAGCCTGTGAGCTCCAGAGGGTTCTTGAAAGGCCCGGCATGACACACGAAGCACTTTGGGCTCAGCGTGGAGCGAAGCTCGACACTAAGTTTCCGCGAGGTGCGATCCAGTTTGAGCCGATCCGAAGTTCGGATCGATTTGTTTGGAATTTCGATTGAGGGCGGCGTTAGCGTATCAGACATGGTATTGAGAGGACGATCCTTGCGTCAGCATTTCGGAGTCCGATCCTGCGCCACATGCGTCCAGGCCTGATTTGCTGAGATGATCACGTGCTAGGCCTAGCTGGGCTTATCGTTCACAAGAGCCCGTTTCTTTCTTGCTTGGGGCATGACGGGCGTCATGGCCCCCGCCTCCCCCCCTATGACGTAACGCTCCCCCCCCAGTGCGCGCTCCGGGCACTTCCGCCGTTCGCATTGGGATCCGCGTAGGTGACCACGTAGGAATCCGCGTAGGAGTCTGGTTCGCAGTCGTCGTCGTCGTCGTTGTCGTCGTCGTCGTCGTCTTCGTCGTCGTCGCTCGTGGCTCGTCGCTCGTCGCTCATCGTCGTCGTGCGCGCGGACGCGGTTGGAGCTTGTTTTTTTATTCGGGGCCGATGACGGCAATCATTTGTTGGGTGGAGGGGGTCGGTGAAGTCACGTTTCGCGCCGGCGGCGTCTGGGAATGCTTAAGAATGACGGAGGACAGGTACCACCAGCATGTAGGTGGCGATCTGCACCACAACGCCTATGTACAACACAGTGCCTGCGTGCACCACAGAGCCTGTGTACACCACACCGCCTATTTACACCACAGCAGCCGCGTGCAACACAGCTCCAGTTTGTGCCACCGTGCCTGCGGGCACAACAGCTCTTGTGTACACCACAGCGCCTGCGTCCATCAAATCAGCCGTGTGCAACACAGCACCAGTGTATACCACAATGCGCGCGTACATTGCAGTGCCTGTGTACACCACGGCGCCTGTGTGCACCACAGCAACCCAGTGCAACACAGCACCGTTGTTGTATATAGAATGTTAGAAGTTATCCGTATGACACAATGGACCGCTTGTGGATTTCACAGAAAACAAAAGAAAATAATCTTTATGGAGGAAGGAACGCCGCTGGAATCTACGAGTGCTCCCGAGTCCGCCCGCATCACCCTAACTCCTCCCATCTGCGTCCAGGAGCCTCCAGCTAAATTGGCCGTCCGAGAAACAAATGGACCGATTCAATCGACCATTCTACGGTGCATGCCGAGATGCGCACGTGCGCTGTAGCGCCAACCGGCACGACAGGGGGTAATCAACGAGGACAAATCCACCCCGACCCCCATAATCGGCGTTTACTAAACGGCCCCGTGCGTTTACTAAACAGCGCTTTCTTGTTGGACTCCTTCGTCGGGTGCGTTTGCTAAACGGCTGTGTTGTCGGGGTGCTTATTATCGGGGTGGATCTCCAGCCCTCTAGGTAAGGAGGAGGAGGAGGAGGAAGAGGAGGAGGAGGTGGACGTGGAGGAGGAGGGCGGAGGGAAGAACGTCGTTCTCGATTATCAGCAATTTCCTGGCGTGGCGTTTGGTTGTCCGCAGCGGATCCTCACACACACACATGCTTCTTCTACCTGTCCTATCCACGCAGGCATTGTGATGTACACCAGCGCTGTGTTGGACGCGGATGCTCTAGTGTAGATAGGCGCTGTGGCGTGCACAGGTGCCGCGGTGCACGCAAGCATAATTATACATGGTTGTTGCGGTGCACACATGTACACCGGTGGAGTAGTGTACGCGAGCATTGTAGTGTACACAGGCGCTGCGTTGTACACGGTTGCTGCGGTGTATGCAGACGCTGTGGTGTACACGCGCGCTGTGGTGCATGCGAGCGCTGCGGCGTACACAGGCGCAGTGGGCCAGATCGCCACCTACATGCTGCTCGCGTCGTCGTCGTCGTCGTCGTCGTCGCTCGTCGCTCGTCGCGTTGTGCGCGCGGGTGCGGCTGTGGTGCCGGAGCCACACGGCGGGGGGGAGCGTTACGGCATACCCCCCTCCCGCCCCCCACCCCCATGACGCCCGTCATGGCCGAACATAAGGAAACGCGCTCCAGCCAACTCCTCGGGCACAAGCTAAACGAATTTTACGACGGTAGCCAGCTGTCAATCTTCTGCCAGTCGAAAAGAGTTGGCCTGCACCTTGGACATGAGATGAGCAAGATGACAAGAGGAAACCCAGCATGTATCACATCAGGTCCATTCCTGACTGCCGCTGGGGAACCGAAAATAGCCAACGGAGGCCGACACCGAGGAGAAACGGCGGGATTGAACAATCAATCCGCCAGACCACGACCTCCGGCGCGTCGATTTTGTGATGCGTGGGTCCCTGGACCTCTCGAGACCCCCATCCCCAGCAGCGGCCCCGAAGCCCCATGCCGTTTTCCAGATACCCACAATGGCGAACAGCCAACCGCCCCTGTGTTTTTCGAGGCGCCGGATCTCAGGGGATGCCTGCATGGGTCCTCGGCGGCCCAGGGCAATCACAGGGGGTCGAGGGCGGAGACGTCGACCCCCAACCGCCTAATCGTTGCCGGTCGGGGCCCCTGTGCCGCCCCCCCTGGCCCGTGGGGCTACCCCATCGGGGGCATACCGTCGATCCATGGGCGATCTAGGGTCGATTCCAGGTCGGTCTTCCCCACCCCCCCTGGCTCTGGGAGCAAAAGGGGAAGTGGGCACCTGATCGGGGCTCGTTTCGATGACTCCGACTTGATTGGATTCGACTCCGATGGTTTTCGATTCCGATTCGATTCGAATCGGGATTCCGACTTGGGCTCCGAATCTTCAGTGGAGCCCTACGAGTCTGCCGATTCTGCCGATTCGATTTCTCTCGACTCGGCTGCCGATTCCCGCCGACCCGATTCATTTTGATCGCCGATCCAACTCATCGATTCTATTCTGGGGCTGGGGTCTCTTTCCTGAACAGCTCACACCTCGCTCCCAGTCCACGACCCAGTCTCTCTTCCCTCTTTCACTCCGGACGGCGCAAGGAGTCGAAACTCTGGGCAAAAACCTGCAGCGCGTTGTTCCCCTTCAGTCTCGGAGGAAGGAGAGGCGGCACCACCAACACCAGGGGGGCTATCTCCAGCGAGAGGTCCGCACCACCAGGAAGACCCCCCCCGGCGCCTCGCGCAGGTGGTGGCGGTGCTGCCGCCTTCCATTGTGCCCGTCGGCAGGCGGTGGATATCGATGCATTCCCCCCCCTTCCTCAGGGCCTCAACATATCCGCATCCGTTGCCTGCCGAGGTTTGGCCACGCGCGGAGAGGGGTAGGCTTCTGAAGGAGGCTGCTCCTTAGAAGGCGCGGGCCTTGTCTGTAGATGTAGGGCCCGCACCTGCTAAGAAGCCGCCTCCTTCTGAGAAGCATTCCCCCCTCCCCCGACCCCCCTCTGCGCGCCGCCAAGCGGTGCTTTGGACCGATCGTTCGGCGACTCGAGGCCCTCCTGGACCGTTTGAGAAGCATCCTGAGGCCCTCTTGGCCCGCCTTTTGGGGCCCTCTTGAGCCCGAAGGAATCATGTGGGAAAACTCCCCGGGCGCGCTGGGATGCCCGGGAGATTATTTGGCATTTAGGGTCTGGGCTACTTGAAACATATCCTTAGGATTGAGGGCTGAGGCTAAGGGGATTGAGCAAGGGACCTGAGGACACTCGAACACGCACGGCAGCTTTGCGTGGTGACGACCTTGGCGTTGGTCTCTGACACCGCCCATGGTGCTCAACCTTGAACGATCGGCGGCTTTTGAATCCCCAGATTGTTCCATATTGGCCGATTCTGGGCCACTGGCGGCGCTTAACCGAACGCCCGT